AACATGGTGTCTAAACTTTTACTATAACAAAACCGTGAGGGGTAATTTCACAGCGAAACACAAACACAGACAGTGAGAGGGAGAGAGAGACACATGCAAGGTGCCTGTGAGTCTTAGCTGTAATCTCCTGGATTTATGATAAAACCCTGTGGGCTGATATTACAGAGGGCCCATCGACAGGGCCCCTCTCTCAGCTAAAGAGGTGCAAAGTGACCTTCCAAAGAGATGACAGTGAAACAGAGATTGACTTTCCCAGAATTCTCAGCATGACACTTGACTTCACTTGCATTACTTTAGTGTTGTGTGAAACCATGATGGATTTTAGTATGTGTGAATGACTCTGAGCACCTTCTATTCATTAGTATGCGTCTCTGCATGAGGAGAAGCTGTTTGTGATGAGCATTGGTTCATCAAATCTGCTCATCACCATCTGCTTTTGTGGTGTTTTTGCCTGTGAGACAAAATATACAATGTGTGTATGTTGGTACTTCAAAACATTGGTGCATGAACACTGTATAAATTACTAAAATGCAGTAGTTTATAGTAAATATACAATTTTATTTGGTTTCTAGAATATTTTAATGATCAAATGGCAACCACCGCTGCCTTTTTATAAAATGTAAATTATAAAATAAATTAAACTCATTATTTAAAAAAAATCATAATTTTTCATAATGACAACATGAAAGAAGTTTGTTTGAAATCTTTTCAAAAGTACTTTTTTTCACACAATATTCGCAATCTTTTCTATGACACCCCGATTAGAGCTCACTTGCTTTCTGTTTTCATTGATCATACTTCAGAAGTCTCTGCACTTTGATAAATTCAGTTGATTGGACATGATTCGTAATTACAAAATGCCTGTCTATATTAGATCGCACAGTTATATAGTGCATAACAAAGCACAAACCATGCCATGAAGTCAAAGGAATTGTCTGTAAACCTTAAAGACAGGATTTTAGAAAGGTAGCGATCTGGGGAAGGGTACAGAAGAATATCTGCAGCATCGAAGTTTCCAGTGAGCACATTGGCCTTCATTATCCTCAAATGGAAGTAGTTTTGTATCTACTAAGACTCATTGGTTGCTAAACCAGGTTGCAAACAGGAGTCAAGGAGAAATCCCTAGGTGAAGAACACGATTGTCAGTCTGAAAGAGATCCAGTGATTCTCTGTGGAAAGAGGAGAACCTTCCAGAATCAACCAGCTCTCCGCTAGTCAGGCCGGTATGATAGAGAAGTTCTTCCTCATTCAAAGGAACATGAAAGCCCACCTGGAGTTTGAATTTCAGTGCCAGGACTCAGTGAGACTAGTCAGGACTGAGGGAGAATAAATGCAATAAATGTAGAGACATTCTTGGATGAAAACCTGCTGCAGAGCTCTGGACCTTAGACTGGGTGGCGGTTCATCTTTTAACAGAACAAAGATCCTGAGATCACAGCCAAGATATTTAAGGAGTAGCCATGGGACAACTCTGTGAATCTCCTTGAGAGGCCCAGTCAGAGCCCAGACTTAAACCTGACTGACCCTTCTCTGGAGAGATCTGAAAATGGCTGTGTACCGATGTTCCATGCTGATGAGGGTTGAGAAGGTACTGCAAACTGCCTGAAAATATGTTATCCAATCATCCATCATAACCATCATAACCTAAATTAACTGAGGCTGTAGTAGTCTGGAGTAAAGGCTGTGAATACTTATGTACATGTGATTTTCTTTCTTTCTTTCTTTCTTTCTTTCTTTCTTTCTTTCTTTCTTTCACATTCTTATTGAAGGGATTTTTTGTGGAATTTTGAGGAAAGTAATTAATTGAATCCATTTTAGAATATTGTTAACATCAAGATGTGGAATGCTAAGCGATGGATACTCCTCAGATGTTGTGTACTGTATGTGTGTGGTATGCTGAGGTACTTTTTGACCTTAACTATACCCCCATCTGCTGGTCAAAGGCTATTAAAGCATTTTATGAAGAAAAAGATAAGTTATTTCAACTTTCGTCGATTGCTAAGGTGTTTTTAACGTTTATGTGATTGTTTACATGAATTCAAAAAACTCACCATAATAGATATTTAGGTTCCAGCTCATTCAGAGTATGCAATGCAATTGATTTTGTTGTTTATTTTCACCTTATGAATAATGTACAATCTCAGAAGCTGTCACTGGGGTTTACCTTTTCAAAAGGTACACATTTGTACTTGAAGGATTGGTACCTCAAAAGTATTAGTTGCTAAAAAGATTTAAGAGAAACGCTTTTGTACTTTTTAGGTACTAATATGTACCCTTAAGGTATTAATCTTGACCTTTTAGGTACAAATTTAAACCTTTCGAAAAGGTACCACTCCAGTGACAGATCACGTACCTTTATTTAAAAAAAAATAGTATTTAATATTATATTAAAAATAAATAAATAAATACAAAAAAAAGCCCGGGTCCTGACAATATTGGTGGTAGGGTGCTACATACGTGTGCGTAACAGCTTTCTGAAATATTTCATTACATTTTTTCACAGTCTCTTATGCTACAAAGGGTTCCTGAAATCTGGAAGAAATCTGTTATTGTTCCTGTAGCTAAAACCAAGTTTCCCCGGGAGTTAAATGATTTTAGACCTGTTGCTCTTACTTCATTAGTCATGAAGTGTTTTGAGAGATTTATTAAAGGTGAGATTTTATTGCAGTCAAAGGATAAATTTGATCCATTGCAGTTTGCTTTTAGACACAGCAGGGATGTTGAAGATGCCAATCTTACAATGTTAAATTACCTGGAAAAGCCTAAGACTCATGCCAGATTTTTGTTTATTGATTTCTCTTCTGCTTTTAATACTATGAAGCCACATTTGTTGGTGGAGAAATTAATTTCTCTTTTTTACTTGGATCTTAATATTTGTGGATGGATTCTTGATTTTTTTAGTTGGACGTCAGCAGTGTGTCAGAGTTAACGGTGCTCTTTCTGACTTCCAGTTTTGTTCCACTGGGTCCCCTCAAGGTTGCTGCCTCTCACCTCTTTTGTTCATCATGCATACTAATGATTGTCGTAGTATTCACGGGGATTGTCATATCATTAAATATGCAGATGATTCTGTGATTGTAAGTCTCCTCCACGATCAGGATTTGGGGCATGGTCCTGCTATACAGGAGTTTACTTCCTGGTGTGATAGATTTTCTCTCCAGCTGAACGCAAGTAAAACAAAAGATATGGTGATAGAATACAGGAAGGCTTCTCCAACCTCCAACAAAACTAATATTAAAGGCTTGGACATTGAAATTGTTGACACGCATAAATAAAGGGGTTGTTATTGATAATATGTTTACATTTCAACCTAACACCCAGGCTGTATATAAAAAAGTCCAACAAAGACTGTTTTTTCTGAGGAAACTTAGATCATTTCAGGTCTGTACCTCTATGATGACGCTGTTTTATGAACAATTTATCGAATCTGTTTTATCTTTTTGCATTGTAGCTTAGTACGGCAATCTGAGTGTGTCAAGCAAGAACAGGTTGAGCAGCCTGGTGAAGGTGGCAGGCAAGATCATTGGTTTTAATTAGACTGGTCTAATGGCAATCTCCCATAATTATGTTCTAAGGAGAGCTCAGGGTATCCTATGCTCCCCGGATCACCTACTGTACTCTGTATTTCAGCTGTTGCCATCAGGACGTCGTTTTAGGGTTCCTATTTGCAGGACAAATAGAACCAGAAATTCTTTTGTAATGGTGGCCATTACGTCATTACATGAGTCCAGGGGGGAGGGGGATGTTTCTATATACTGATGTATGGATGTTGTGTGGTAATATTTTTTATTTATTTTTTTTATGTGTACATGAAACTTCGCCTGTGTTATGGTACCTTGTTGCAATGTTAGTTTCCCTAACGGGATAATAAAGCTGAGTCTGAGTCTATTTCTAAGAGAGTTCTTAATTAACATAGTAAATATATCTGTCTGTCTGCCTGTCTGTCTGTCTAAGCAGAGATTGTTAAGATGCAGCAAAATTAGTTTTTTAATCTCACATTCATTCCCAGACATTTCATTGTCAACTAGTTTGTCTGTAGTCTCCTGATATTTATGAGAAGCCCTGATTAAGGTATTTGTTGATAATTAATGGAAACACCAACCGTTTAAAGTAACCCGAATTTAAGATGTCTGTGAGTCTAAGGCATAAGCTGTTGGCTTTATGGTTAAAACCTACTCTGATAGCTAGCTATACAAAGACCACATTAACCGGGCCTCTTTCAGCTTTATGTACAAGGATACACATGATCCCAAAACAAGGCTTCTGAAAAATGTTGCTTTTTGTGGCACATAGCACCATCTGCAGGTAAACACCAGTACTGTTAAGGTTTTGAAGTCGATTCCGTGTAAATAAAATGTTATAGCATACGCTTGCAAATTGAACGTATGCATTTACCGCAAAAATCCAAGTAGTGCTCGCTGCAGAGCCATTTGGCCAGAGTTGAGCTCCAGCGAGGGGGAGCTTGAGCTCTCATGCTCATGCTCCCCCTTTGCTGGAGCTCAGCTCTGCGCAAATGGCTCTGCAGCGAGCACCGTCTCCAAAAATCCGGCCCGGCAGCTTTAAAATAAATAGCTTAGCAAATTGTTTTATAAAGGTTTAAAATATAAATGCTGCTTTTGCACAATTGTGAAATGATTTAGGTTTTATTTAAAATACACATCTGTATCTTGCAAACGGATAAACTCGTTTTTGACTAGAATCTGATGATTACGAAGGCTGCCGTTTTCTTTGGCTAATCTCATTATTTTCCTTCTCTTTATTACCTCCCAATATATTTAGTTATCCCTTTACGATCTGCAATTGTATTACCTGTATTTAAAATTTTGCACTGCATTGAGTTTAAATGTAATAATGTCAAATAATAGTTTAAATGTAATAGTTTAAATGTAATATCATTGACAAAATTTTCCATTGTTTTCTTGTGTTGTTAAAGTTTTTTTGTGTAGTGTCAGAAGTAACCAGTTCCTGAAAACCATAGGATTACAAACCAAAACCAAAAATCACACATTTAAGCCTCTTTTAATTAAAAAAATCTTCTCTTTTCACAACAGAAAAAAAACTAAAAATCTGGACGTGCAAGTGGCAGGTGATCAATAAAACAGTTTTTAAAAATTCAGCATTTCAGCAACAGTCCTGTATTTATACACCATGTGGATGATTACCGTTCTGAAACATCTATTCTGACTGCTGAATTAAAGACAATGTATCTGTCCAACGAAACTACCATGTGCTGCTTTTTGACACACATTAGTCACCATATTATTATTTGACTTTGGTTCTTCAGACTAGGCCTCTAAACACAGAGAGGCTACAGCAAAAACTGGAGAAAAAAATCTGAGAAGGTAGTTCATGTGGATTTTCTTTAAAAACAAATGCAGGAAAAAATTACACAAGCCTCTCTTTTTTTAGGAAGAAAAAAAAAGAATTATCACAATGCAATGTAAAAAAAAAAGAAAAGAAAAACACCAACAGAAAGACATACAGATACAAAACATAGATGTTTCTTTAAAGAGGAGGACAAATAGACGCGTTAAAGATGAAGTTCTGCATGACACCAGCTCCCGAGCTGGTGCTTTTACATCTGATTGGACAGGATAGACCTGCAGCCTGACCAATCAGATAACACATACAACTCTGAGGTAGATCAAAGGTCAAGCTGACCTGGACATCTAAATACACAATCACACACAGACACACGGAAATCTGTTTAACTAACTATGACAGACAGATGAAAGGCTTGTTTACAACTGTGTTATGAACCGGTGATCAAGTCTTCCCTCTGCCCAACTGCTTAGAGATGTTTATGTTTCAAACTAGATTAAAGCTGCGAGTCAAGATTGATGAAAAGAGACACAAACTACCATTCCGTTTGACCAAAACCCAATGCAGTAGTCCGTACTATCGTGTTCGATAGTAGGCAGAAAAGGTCTTTGGTGGAAAGTGTCATAGTTGCTATGAAGTTGGATGTTTTTCAATCATTTATTCAATTTGAGTAGTGACTTTTAATTACAACTGTGCAATCATGTGTTTGTAAATTTATATGTTAGGCCACAAATTTAGGTTTCATTTGCATAATGATATTCAGAGTTCCAAGAAAGCTAAAATACTTAATTACTTTTAATCGACTATTTAACTATACTTCTCGCTTTCTACCTAAACAAAGATTGCACTTCTGCCTTTTTTCTGAGCATTAAAGAAATCCTGATGTGTTCCGTAAAAAAAAAACATGAAGGAAAGAAGATAAAAATAAATAAAAAATGGCACTGAAAATAAAATCGCAACCATCCTGTAAAAGGCAGGAAAAAATATCAGCTTTTCCCAAATCCACAATATCCCTTTATCATCCCCACCCACATACCTCAGCTAGCTTAACCCCACCCACTCATGCCCCGCCTACCAAGAAACCCCACCCACCCTTATCTCAACATCCACTTCTAAATCTACCGAAAGACTTTACACATGGATTCAATGGAAAGAAGACTCATTCACAACAAACACATGGTCTCCGAAGCAAAACGTGTTCGGTTCAGAGAGACATTAAAAAAAGGAAACAAGAAAGCCTTAGCTTTGAGAGACAGGAGCAAGGACCAATAGCCAGCAAGCATCGTATCAGTCGTTCTAAACCCCACCCACCTTATTTCAAAGGTAAATATTTGAACTACTAAAAAGGCAAAGAGTGGAAGACCAAAAAGCAAACAGAAAACTCTTCATTTCGACTGCAACCTGTTCAAAAAAGCATTTCTATCGTCTGTTTGAGAAACAGTCCGTAAAAACGTAATAAAAACCATACTTAAAAAAAATATCATGCATTGAAATCCCATCCTCATCATCACTCACTTTTACTCACAGACATGGTCTGTGTTAATAGTTCTTGGTAAAAAATAAGAATTTGTCATCTTCTCTGTTCTAGCAAAATAAAACTCTGCTCCCCTTCATTGTCCACTGTTGCTGTCATATTGCCTCGTCTTGATTTGTTGGAGAAAATGTTTGCACAAGAGTTCTCTGAGGTTTCTTGTTGATTTCTTTTAGAAGATGATTAAATCATGGACAAATTTTCTGGAACCCGTGCTTGAGCGTCACCTTCTCTCTGATGTCACTTCCTCTAAGAGAAAGCTACTGTAGTAACACTCAGCAGACTGTGTCTGGGGCAAACCTCAGATGGTTAACCTGTAACAAAAAACAAACAAACAAACACTATTTAAATACTGAACCATTCAAATCAAACCATAGGTAAAAGCTAAAATACAATCTTCTGTGGATCTGAAAACTGGTAGTTACTGGAACTATTAAAGTTTTGTATGGCATCCATTTGTCCACTCAGCATACAATTAGATCACTGTAGTTCCTAGTGTCCTCTAGTAGACCCTACATTAATTGAGCTAATTTAGTTCCCCCAAAAAGCCTTTCTATAACTAAAATCATTTCCAGTTCCTGTAATGCGAACATGACAAAAAATGTGTACTTCTTGCCAATAGTTCTAGGAACTACAAAAACCCTCCTTTTGTTCTAAAACCCTTAAAAATGATTTGTTTTCTAAAACGACAGATTAGCAACAAATAACACGCATTAAAGGGCACCTATTTTACCCCTTTAAAAGATGTAAAATAAGCCTTTTGTGTCTCCAGAATGTGTCTGTACAGTTTCAGCTCAAAACTGTATGAAAAAAAATGTATTTTATAATTAATTCCTACATAGTTATGCTAATTACATAGCAATTGTACTGTCTTTATTACAAACATGCTCTGTTTAAACATTTTTTTAAACTTATTAAAATCACACAGAGTTGTAACAAATATTTTAATCACAGTTTATTTGCAAAAAAATGTTCTGTGGACATGTGTTTAAATGTTATTATAGAAACATGGCACCTGTCTATTAATTTGGTGGGTGGGAAACCGCACTCCTACGTCACATTGTGGTGGGCCTATTTTAGCGTCAGAAAATTTTTAAAAAGAGACTTATTGGGCCCTATCATACAAACGGCGCAAGTCTAGTTTGAGCTTGGCGCAAGAACCGTTTTGACGTTTTGCACCAAGCTGTTAAAACAGCAAATGTATTTATGCTCATATGTGCGCCCAAAGGCGTTCTGGTCTAAAAAAGGAGGCGTGTTAAGGCGCATTGCTGGCACGTTGCTATTTTGAGGAACTATAATACGCAAATATCTTTACAAATGAAAAAGAATTAAAGGATTAAAATATTAGAATTTTTTTTTCTAGCCTACATATATATAAAAACCATACTTTCATGCCTTCTTCATCCTGGGGGCTTTTTCAGTTTATTCATGACAATTTGCTTTTGTATAATGTTATCATTATTAGCAGTATTATTTATTAAATGCATATTTATATTTGTTTTATTAAAAACAAGCTTAGATTTGTCCACCTGTCAGGTTTTAGACTATATGGGGCACAGCATGTGTATAAGGATATAACTATTTTTTGACCACACTTCGTTATTATTGTTCATTTGTTCGTTTTAATTAGAACTGAATTTAGAAATTGTTTTAAAATAAGTCTTTGTGTTTAACAAGCAAAATTAATTACATTAGGCTAATGGATATCTGTGCGTATAACACAATTCCTTATCCACGAGAGTGAAAGTGAAAGTAAAGAATGAGGAGGCTCATCTCTCATTCTCGCGCTGTAGATGCTCTGTTTAACTGTTTTCTTGCTAGTGAAGTGTTCAGTTTTTCCACTTACAAAGTCTGCCATGTAAATAGCAAATGCGCCATGGTGCGATGCAACTGACTCTTAAAGGGAATGGGAGATGAGATTCTGATTGGTTTATTCTCAAAACACACCTATAACTCATTAAGAGAATAAGCTCAACCCTGTTAGACTATGCGCCATGGCACAAAGTGTATTTTTCCATCCTTAAAATAGCAAAAGTGGATTCGGACATGCCCTAAATGCTATTGAGCCCTGCGCTTGAGACTTAGCAGAAAGATTGTTAAAATAAAGCCCATTGTCTTTTTATCACTCCAATCTGACAGTGGACACACTATACCTACACACAGTTCTTTCCAAACAGCTTAAAAAGATGATTTTCATCATAGGTGCCCTTTAAAAGATTTTAAATGCACACTGCAGACGAAGCACCTGACGCATGACACAAGCATATCTATTAGCCAGTGGTGGAAAGAGTTCTGAAAAAGCATACTTAAGTAAAAGTACCATTACTTGCCTAAAAATGTAGTGTAAGTAGAGTAAAAGTACCTGTTGTAAATATTACTCAAAGTATGAGTAAAAAGTAGCCCTTTTAAAAGTACTCATGAGTAGTGAGTAGTGAGTATTAGGCTGTAAAAAGTTGATGCATTTACATGTAATTTGTGGATGTGTGTAAACGTAACATTATGTAGTGCATTTAGTTATTGCCCAGCAGGCACACAATGTCATAAGACGTTAATATTAGGTTAGGTTTAGGGTGTGATGTCAGGTGACCAAAATTCAATGTCTAGTCAGCGTCTATAGACAACATTATTTTGATGTCCAATAATGAGATCAAATGACGTTTATATTTGGTTGATTTTAGGTTGTTGGCCTGGCAAGACCGGTCTCTGCGTTCTTGTAATTGAGCAACAGCCTGTGTTTGGGCATCCCTGATCTAAACAGTCTCTGGGTCAATGCGTGTAAAGATTTTGAACATCTTCTAGGACACTTCATGCTTCCAAACAGTTTGCTGCAATGTAAAGTGCACATGTCTTGAAGTAGTTCATTTTGATGCATTTTACCTTCTATGTGTGATTTGACTGGACAGGAATTACAGGACTGATTTTTCTAATTCTCATAGACAAGAAAAAATAAAGTAGTGACAGCAGGTTGAAGGAAAGTATTGAGAGTAAAAGTACAGATACTGCAGTAAACATGTACTCAATGAAAAGTAAAAGTACACATTTTTAAAACTACTTAGTAAATTACAATTTCAGAGAAAAACTACTCAATTAAAGTAACTTGAGTATTTTTAATTAGTTACTTTACACCAGTGCTAGTAGCTCATAGTAACATGTGTTAGCTGTCACTTTGAGCATATTTGTTTGTTGTAATTGGGTCCCTGGTGAAGCACATGTATGTGAGTGTGTGTGTTTGTGTTCTTGAGATTACATATGGAATGAAGAATCCGGCAAGTGTCACTGAGTTACTATGGTTACTGTTAATGTTTGGGAGAGAGTGCTTTTTTCGAACTGTGACTGACTGGGACTACCTGTGCATTAGTGATGGGTGATTCTTGAACAATTTGATCAAATCTTTTGTGTGATTTGAGAATGATAAGTCCACTCAGGCAGTGATTTGTTCACTCGGGCATGCGCACATTTGTGCAGATGAAGTAGAAGATTAGTTCATTTTTCAAATTTTTTATCAAGTTTGAGTCGTTCGTTCACCACATGAAAAGACAGAAGCCAATCATATGCAGTCAGAGCCGGAAAAAGATTTGATCCGTTCATCTCTCGAGTTCTCAGGTTTGAGTCATCCCTTTACATGCTGTCACGTGATGAACGAACGACTCAAAATTCCAAAGACTCGAAAGGTGCAGTGGTTAAGCTTATATGGGACTGTCTGTGTGACGTGATCGAACCACTCAAATTTGGTTCAGAGGTGAGCTGAGCCAATAATAGACAAAAGAGTGGGTAAACAATGAATGATTATTTTCTCTTTCTTATGGCATTGTAGTTAGCTCTTGTTTGTAGTGTGATCAATGTTTAGGCTATTTGTAGATGTGTTTGAAAGCAACTTGTAAAATTTAAATAATATTCTGGCAAATTGAAGGAAATGACTCGAAAAAAAAGATTCATTCATCTCACAGTAAAATGATTCAAACTTCCCATCACTACTGTGTGTTACGAGATCCAGCGATCGCTCTCCGGAGATCGCTGGTTTCCCCCATAACCATGAACTACACTTCCGCCTTTTCCTGGACTACATTTTCATACATGCACTTCGCCCAGACACCCATGCTCACCTATCTCGCTTGATTACGCTCACCACCTGAACCTTGTCACAGACTGATAGCATACCATACATAAGCCACTCATGAACCCATCCAGTTTGCCGAGTCTTGTTCGCCCATAGTGACATTACAACGCGTTTCCTCCTTGTCTTGTTTCTCCGTGTCTCGATCCTAGCCTTGTTTACCCTAGTTATCCTGTTTAGCCACCAGCCTTACGACCTATTGCCTGTACATTGATTACGATTCTGGACTGCCTTAATATACCCGCTTGCACCTGTATGAACACTGCTTGCCTGACGCTGAATAAACCTGCATATTGGATCTTACCTCAGTTGTATCTGTCACTCCCTCCCCGGTCGTTACACTGTGCATTAAATAATTTTATTGCACACCTTTAAGCCAATCAGAATCATGAATTTTAACAGACTACAGAATAAATGAGTATATAAAATCATAAAAGAGCGTCGTTCGATATTGATGAGACTATATTTACTGCTTTTTGTCACGTGTGGGACTCATAATCTTTCTATTTACTTTCTGAGTATGGGAAAGGGCACAACTTCTCCTTTTGTGTTCACAGAAGAAAGGAAGTCATGTGAGTTTGACTGAACAGCTCAGGGTCAATGAACGAGAATAAAAACACTATATCATCATAATAGAATGATATATCAAAATATATGATAGTAAAATACCGTTTTATTGCTTGTTGGGTTGGAAAGGGTACGATGACGGATCTGAAGAGGACACATCTTGTGGCTGCACACCACTTTCCTGCTGTAAATAACATTGGAGAGAAATGACAAATTAGAATTAAATTAATTGACCAAATACTCAAAAATGAATTGTTTTCAGTGGTGTTTGTACACATATAAGCATCGGACACTCCAAACATAAGAGATTATAGCTTCTTCTGACAAATCAACTTTCATATTAGTATTCATATTATTGTGCTTCCACAAATTTAGTTTGCATTGTGCGAATATTTATATACAGTCCTTTGGGATCTCCTTATGTTCTTGTTTGGTGTGGTAGGCAGACTTGTGCTTAATTAAGCCTATTTACTGTATGATTCAGTGGTTTTGGTCCACTTGGTTAGTGCATACTAATGTTCGGACGACAGTGTTTATAATTATTCCAATGAACTGCTCTACCAGAGGCTATTTTACTAGTTGTCAAAGTATATTTCTTAAATTTAAAGTATATCTCTTAACATTTCTTGTTTGAAAATATTATGTAATTTATGTAATACAAAAATGAAATTTCTGTTTAATGAGAATGCATTAAAAATGACAGTAAAACCTATTTAGAATAAATAAATGTATTAAACCAAATGTTATTCTTTTGAACATTCTATTCATCAAAGAATCCTGAAAATTAGCAATAAATGACATTTAAAATATATATTTTAAAGAATTCTTCTTAAAGTTAAAGCTCTTACTTTTATTCCTAACATGTCTTTTTTTCAATATAATATAATATAATATAATGGAAGTTTTATAATATAATGTACTATAATATATAAAGTATCATAATATAATATAATATATAATATAATATAATATAGTATAATATAATATAATATAATATAAAGTATTGTAGTATACTATAAAATAATATCATATAATAAAAGTTATATTTAGCCAGAATGCATTTAAAAAGTAAAAGTAAAAAAATATTTAAAATATATAAATTTATAAAATCAATGTTTTTCCTTTTAATGTTCTATTCATCAAAGAATTGTGAGGAAAATGGAACAAAATAACATTTTAAAACATATTTAAAAATCATACTTCTTAAATTAAAAGTTTATTTCTTCCCATAAATTTTCTCAAAAAATATAATACAATAAACTGTTATAATACAAAGTGTTATAATATAATATAAAGAATCATAATATAAAGTATTATAATGTAATATAAAGTATTATAATATATAAAATCAATGTTGTTCATTTGAACTTTCAATTCATCAAAAAAATCCTGAAAAACTAGGATAAATTACTTTTAAACATATATTTATTATATATTAATATATTTTTAAAAGAAAACCTCTTAAATTAAAAGTGTGTGTGTGTGTGTGTGTGTGTATATATATATATATATATATATATATATATATATATATATATATATATATATATATATATATATATATATATATATATATATGACATTTTATTCCAGTATAATATAATATAAAATAATATAATATTATATAATATTATACAATAAAACATACACTAAGCCAGAATGCAATTAAAAAGTAACAGTAAAAAATAATTTAGAATATTTTAACTTATTAAACTAAAGTTATTCTTTTGAACTTTCTATTTATTAAAGAATCCTGAAAAAACTAGGAATAAATTACATTTGAAAAATATTTTAAAAGTAAATTTCTTAATTTAAAAGTAGATTCCTAACATTTTTTTCAGTAAAATATAATAAAATTAAAATTTTAAATAATATAATATAATAAATTGTTTTAATATTAAGTTTCTATAATGCACTGTAAAAATAACAATAAAACATCTATTTAGCCAGGATGCATTTAAAAGTGACAGTAAAACATATTTAGATTATATAAATTTATTAAATCAATGTTACTGTTTTTTTTAAACTTTCTTTTTATCAAATAATCCTGGAACAATAGGAATAAAATTACAATTAACGTATATATTTAAAAAGAACACTTCTTAAATTAAAAGTAAATTTCAATATGATATACTGTAATATAATAAAGCGTTATAATATAACGTGATATATAGTATTATGACATATAGTAATAAAAAAAATTTAAAGTGACAGTAAAAAATATTTTGAATATATAAATGTATTAAATTAAGATATTCTTATGAACTTTCTATTCATCAAAGAGTCCTGGAAAAAATAGGAATAATTTAATTAACAATATGTATATTGAAAAAGTATACTTCCTAAATTAAAAGTATATTTCTTTTTTTTTTTTTCAATAAAACATAATAATTTATGAAATAATATATAAATATATAAAAATATTAAAATCAATGTTATACTTTTAAATAAAAAAATACTAAAAATATATTAAAACAGAAAACAGCTATTTTAAAGTATAATAATATTTCACAGCATTACTGTTATAAAAGTCCCTTATTTAATTATAATAAAATGCATATATATATATATATATATATATATATATATATATATATATATATATGCTTATAAGTGTAATAATAGATTTATCTGGCTGGAAAAGCAGAATAGCTAGAACGACACATTTTGTCCATCTATCCAGCCAGTAAAGAAGCCTGAGCAGCCCGCGGTGTCTCTATCACTGACCTCAGGAGGGATGGCAGGGGGCTGAATGTGGGTGTAGTGAGGGATGTAAGCTCCTGGCATCGCCGTGTTGGCAGGAATAAACTGCAGGAGAGCAGAATTTTGTGGCGTTATTAAAAAACACAGGTGTTAATATTACTTATTAATTAGCATATACGCTTGTGCCATGTTAGCGCAATCTGTGAGAGAGGATCATACGGTTGCAGTGCCGCCCAGAGAGAGATGGCCCATCTGCTGGGTGAGAGGAGCCAACATAGCGGACGGCTGCAGTGACATGGGGTGCTCCATAGAGGGCGATAGAACGGCTCCCTAAAGGGCGAAAACAAAAATAATATTTGGCATGTTTAAATGAAAAATCCATCTATATACACACACATACAGTACATAAATGATTTATTTATTTAAGATTTAATGTTATGAATAGCTATATGCTTTGTTTTTAATAATAAGATTTTCAGCATATAAATTAGACATTAAAAAATTGATAAAAAAAAATTGTGCTGGTCAAAAATGTAATGCATGCAATATAAAAGTTTGTATTAACATAATTTAGGTGTGTGTACTGTAAATATTTACTATATATATATATATATATATATATATATATATATATATATATATATATATATATATATATATATATATATATATATATATATATGTATGAATAGACTCATATGCATATATTTAATTTAATGTTTACTTATATTTAGATATAAAATATAAATGATACAAGTTACAAAGAAATGTAAATATCTATGTAACAAAACAGTTTGTATAGTTTTGTTTCTATGTTATAAATGTATATAATAAACATGCATATACAGTACATATATAAGTACACTCCTCACAAATCTCTCTTTTAAAAGGAAAATACTCATATTTTTTATAGGAAGCTAGACAATATTATATTTGTGCATATACGTTAAATTAGTCAGTACTGAAGCCAAATCTGGAGCTTATCGAACAAAATAACTTACAATAATGGTCCAAAAACTAGTACACCCAAATGTATATTATAGAAAAATATTTAGTTGCAATTTTTAGTTGGAATTTAGTTGCAATTTTGTAGGCTGAAATTTTTTTTTGCAATATTTTCCATGAATTTAATTGTAAAGTATTAAAAAAAAAGTATTTAAAGTATGTTTGGTGACTAAAATGTTATTTAATAACTATATCTGTTTAATAAATCTGTTTTGTTTAAATGCATCAGCATTCATTGCCTATATTCACTGAGCAATGGATAAAAATATTCATTTTCAAAATGGGGTGGACTCAATAATGCTGAGCATTGTATATATTTCAAAACAAAGATTATTTTGTATATGATTAATTACGATTCTTTGCCCAGCACTAATTAAAATTAAATAAAAAATAAAAGTAATTATTAATAATTAAGTAAAAAATTTTCGACTTCATCCGCACTAAATAACTTGATGATTTAACTACATGTCAGTAACAATATCTATGTTGATGGTAAATTGTTATTTCATCATGTAAACAAAATTATCGTGTAAACAAAATTATTTTAAAATGTTTACAATAATCTACCATTTTGCCTTAAAATCAGCATATAAATAAGAGACATATGTATAAAATTGAAATAAAACAAAAACAATAGTAATGATAACAATTCTATGAAATATTTCAACTACATCTGATTACTATCTCTAATTAATTAACTTCTTAATGCTTTAATGTCAGCAACAATTACAAGAAAAGTATTATAAAGAAGGAGGTTCATTCTGCTGTGGCGACCCTTGATGAATAAAGAGACTAAGCCGAAAGAAATTAAATAAAAATTATAAAGAAATAATTCAATAAAATATAAACCAACATTCAGCATTTTGACATCATATAAACTGCACACATAAACAAAAAAATAATAGAAAAATAAAAGAAAATGGCAAAAAATAAATGATATTTGAAAAAATCTGTCAACTTAATGTGTCATATAAATTCAATTTAAAAAAAAGTTATATTAATATATATATATATATATTTTCTGAACAGAAACGTGTCTGGCATCATTTCAAAATGGATAAAACCAATTATCTTTTGTATACCAAAGAGGTTCTTGCATAAATCACAATTTTTATTTTCTTCACTGCTCAATAAGTAAGAATGAGTGAGTATATTTACTCAATAATTTAACAGTTTCTGCACTGAATTAATATTGGATTCAGCTCATATAGAGTTCATGAACTCATTCATTTTATTTCATTCGCCATTTTTCGCCAACATCAATATACAGTTGAAGTCCCAATTTTAGCCCCCCTGAATTTTTAGCCCCCCCATTTATTGTTTTTCCCGTTTTCTATTTAACAGAGAGAAGATTTTCAACACATTTCTAAACATAATTGTTTTATTACTCATCTCTAATAACTGATTTATTTTTTCTTTGCCATGATGACAGTAAATAATATTTGACTAGATATTTTTGAAGACACTTCTATACAGCTTAAAGTGACATTTACAGGCTTAACTAGGTTAATTAGGTTAACTAGGCAGGTTAGGGTAATTTGGCAAGTTATTGTATAACAATGGTTTGTTCTGTAGATTATTGGGGGGAAAAAAAGAGCCTAAAGGGGCTAATAATTTTGTCCTTAAAAAGGTGTTTAAAAAATGTAAAACTGTTTTTATTCTAGTCGAAATAAACCAAATAAGACTTTTTCCAGAAGAAAAAATATTATCAGACATACTGTGAACATTTCCTTGCTCTGGTAAACATAATTTGGGAAATATTTAAAACAGAGAAAAAAATCTAAGAGGGGCTGATAATTCTGACTTCAACTGTTACAATATAACATGTCCAATCAAAGCGTTAATGAACTTTTGGTCCCACTTTATATTAAGTGGCCTTAACTAATATGTACTTACATAGGAATTAATAGTTTGTTACAATGTACTTATTGTGTAAATACATGTATTTACTGTGTACTTATGCTTGATTAAATACCTGTATGTAATTAAATCTGTAATTAACTTTTGTAATTACATTTGTAAATACACTGTTGAACATCCCTTACACCTTAACCTACCCTTAAACCTACCCATGCCACCAAACCTGTTCATAACCCAACCTCTATCCCAACTCAAAAGCACCACAATTGTTTTCAAATACATTATAAACACAGTAAGTACATTGTATTTATTTTTTTGATGTAAGTACATAGTAGTTAGGGACACTTAATATAAAGTGGGACCGAACTTTTTTTTTCACTATAAACAAAATATCTGTCTACTCTAAATAACAGAAATTCTGGTCACAATAGTGCAAAAATGAGGAAATACTGTTTGAACACACACATATACACATATTACTGTCTCGTGTGTATGCAGGATTGCTTGTTGTGAGTCATCTCCTGTTTGAAAGGAGAGGTCATTAAAAGAAGAAGAAAAAAGAAAAAAACAACAACTGTATTTTGGCCTTACTGGGTGTTGCATGATATAAGGCTGATGTGGCATCCATGAAGGATTCTGTACCTGGAGAAATACACAGAAAGCAGGTGCCAGTCAGAAACACTCACATCAACTCAGCATGAGCGTGAAAATGAAGCACATTAACATTTTTATGCATTTGATTTTTTATCTAAAGGGCCTCACACTCAAATGTAGGTACATATGTGGGCGACATCTACACTAATAAATTCTATCTGAAAACACCCCACATTATTGTTTTCACTTATGACTGAAAAAATAGTCAGTCACACTGAAATGACTGAAAATGCTTTTCGTTCATGCTTTCGTTCATGTACTTCACAGACATAAAATGCATTTATCTGCATCATATCCGCCTGCCCTTTATTTACTTTCCGTCTCTTTGAAATGTCATTGCAAAACGTCGCTGAACTTTAGCTCCCAGTAAACATTTATATGGAGCAATATGGAGCATGTGCAAACTAACAATAATCTTTAATAAAGCTGTAGGAATGGGCAGCATCCAAAATATCTGCTTTGCAATGTCGTCCACCATGTTAGCTAAATTGGTTACATGACTTAGGGTGCTTTTACACCTGTGTATCGATTTATTTGACCCGAAACAGGGGTTAAAATTGTTACAATGTTGCTCTTGTTCTTGGTGCGGTTCGCTTTCACACGGCAACATTTCTAAACGGACCAAAAGAGCTAAATAAAGTCACATGTGGCTAAACTCTCCTTACATTGTTCAGAGTTTCAGGGTTTATTTTGCAGAGTCCCACTCAGCTGTCATGTGTCCTTAATTTAATTTATGACGATGAGCAATAAAGACATCATAAGTGAAAAGCTGCGCTTTAATAATAAATGGTGATTTATAGCAGTTGGCTTATGCATTAAAGGCTTTTATAAAAATGCACATTTACCGGTTGAAATGGCCTCCCACCCTACTTATAACTCTCTTTTCATATAACCGTATATAAGTTTTTTTTTTCTTCACTCTCCTATTGGTGAAGTTTTTTTTCCTCTCCGCTGTCGCCAATGGCTTGCATGGTTCAGGATCTGAAAAGCTACTCATCGATGAATTTGCTCTTCAGTGTTTGGACTCTTAAATAATGACTTCAAACCACACTAAATTGAACTTAAACACTAAAAACTGAACAACCCTGATCCTGTTACTATGACCATTTATGTGAAGCTGCTTTGACACAATCTACATTGTAAAAGCGCTATACAAATAAAGCTGAATTGAATTGAATATGCCTATGACATATCCATGATACACTGTGATATAGTCAGGCTCGGATCGTATCGCTTTCTCACTACAATCGATCGGCGATCTCAGACCGATTGATCTGGCGTGGATCAGAGTGCAATTGCTGGATTCACATATGCCAAACGTACTTAGCTAACTGGGCAAACCAGACAGGTTCTGAAACAAAAGTCTAGGTGTGAAAGCCTCCCTTAAATGCGTCATCGTTTTTGAAAGCCTTTGTTTCCACAGTCTACAGTTCAACATAAAAATGACATTTTCAAATATATATACAGCGTTTTCAAAAAGATATATCTTTGTTTCCTGAACATAGCATCTTAGTCTGGACGGAAGGCTGAAACCGAGAGAAAAATATTCGATTTTAAACGAACACGTATTAGTGCGGACATGACCTTGATCAGCTGTTGCTTTCCCTAAGAATCGAACCCACGATTCAATTTATGCTCCAAGTAAACACTCTGTGTGCTTTAAAGAGAGGCAATATAGAGCATGTACAAACTGATAAAAATCTTTAATAAAGCTGTCGAAATGTACAGCATCCAAAACAAATGCTTCTTTACAATGTTGTCCACCATGTGAGCTGTATTGTTCACATGACTAAAATACGTCATCATTTTCGAAAGCCTCCGTTTCCATATTCCACACTGAGACACAAAAATGGCGTTTTCAAATGTATCCATTTTTACAGCATTTTTAATATAATTCATTTTGTTTCCTAAAAACAGCACGGAAGGCTGAAACGGAGAGAAAAATGTACGTTTTTAAATTAAAACTTATTAGTGCGGACAAGGCTTTCATCAGTTCTTGCTTTCCATGAGAATCAAACCCAGAACCTTGGTGTAGCTGGCACCATGTTCCGCTATTTATGCTAGAGTAAGGTTTAAGGTAGTTGACAAATACTTTGAAAAGTAAAACTTTATTTTTAATGTCATATTTATGTAGTGTGAAGTGTTGTTTGAAAAAATGTAGGGGTGACTAACTCAATTCCTTAAACTGTTTTTTTTTTTTAACTCTTTACTCTTTAACTGTTCTGTAAAAATGAAAATAAACATTCTTAAAAGTAGCCTCTTTAACACCTAGAACACTTTAGGCATTATTTACTACTTATGAAAAGACTTGATCTGTTATGCGTAATGAAAACAACATAGGCAATAATTTTTGTTCATAACAGCTGTGAAAATGGATCGTCACTTCATCAACCCTTTATTAGATGATGAAAAGCTGTACCGGGTATGTGGAGATGGGAGAGATGTAGGGAGACACTCCTGGCTGAGTCATTAACCGGTTCCCCATAGCATAAGGAGCAGCATAATACCTGGAATAAAAGACATTATTATCAAAATACTGTACACAGTTTGTGACGGTGTACAGTATACAGCGTTTATATTTATACAACATCTGAATTATTTAATGGCAACTACATATCATGTCAAAAATATCTGAACACTGTGGTGAAAGCAATCCTGCAAAGTACTGAGGCCAAGCTAGCTAACTGACTAAGCTAATTTCACTCAAAATGGTGGAGAAGAAAATTTTTAAGTACATTTCAGTTTCATTAAAGCACTGGAGAGAATGATAAAGAGTTTTGTATTATTAAAATTTTCTCTTTGCCTGATAATTTTATATTTGTTATATATTTTAGATCAGTGGTTCTCAAACTGTGGTACGTGTACCACTAGTGGTACGCAGGCTTCCTTCTAGTGGTACGCGGAGGAATAAAATATGTCATGTATATGCTACATATTTCAAAATTTAGCAAAAATTATGTATATAATATGCCATATATGACATATAGCCTGTATTTCTGAGGTAATCTGCCACGTTTTTTTAACTGTGCAGAGTTGTAGCTGCTTTACTGGGCCTATACACTACTTTATTTCAATACTGCTCATTTTGGTGGTACTTGGGGAGACAATTTTTTTCTGGGGTGTTACTTAATGAAAAAAATTCGAGAACCACTGTTTTAGATGATTAGCTTAGCAACATGCTATGGTCAAAGTAGAATAAGCTGTGCGTAAAACACATCAATTTCATTCAATACTGACAAGAATTTATTCAAATGTTCTGTGTAACTAAATGAAGTACTTTATATTTTATAGTTCCATTAGCATAAAAGCATGCTAGCATGCTAATATCAAATTTGAAATCATTAGTGTGCAAAACACTTTCATTCAGTACTAAAGTGAATATATATAAAAGTGTTTTGTAAAGTTTAAAATAAACTATTTTGGCCAGTATTTGTGTATTTTGTTATTTATAGTTGCTTTAGCTTAGCAACATGCTAACGTCAAATTGAAATCCATTGTTTTCAAGTTTTATTCAGATGATGGGTGAATAATACAGAGCTTCATAGGTCAAAAAACATCTACAAAGAAAGTTAGTGGCCTTGAATTAATTTTATATTGTTTTACTTTTTTATTTGTTGCTTTTTTGAAGTTAAATCATTACCATTTTGTACTATTTATAGTTTATAGTTTTAATACAGTTAAATACTTGGCAAGATTTAACATAAATGATGAAAAAAAAAATGTGTTTTGTCCATGATTTAGCTAAAATGAGAACAAAATAGTGCAAAATTAAACATTAAAAATCACTGTAATGGTGGCACAAATTAATATGTGATAATAATGAATTGTTAGGGTACATCTATATGACACTGTATTTAAAACAGGGAAATCAACCTTATAGTTCATCATTCTGTAAACAAGCCCTTAAATAATTTACATAATATCTATTTTTCTTCTTAATGTAGGTCCAGGGCTCTGTATAGTCTATGGTTTATACCAATGGTCTCAAACTTAAGCTTAATAGGCTCTAGTAGACTTGAACACCGTGATTGGTTGCATCAACTGTGTTTGATTAAGGTTGGAGCAAATATGTGCAAAGCTGCAGAACTCCAGGAATCGAGTTTGAGACCTATGGTGTATATCTAATAAAATAAAGACACATTTAAAACACATTTAAGTTGTCCTTACCCATTCTGAAGGGCGGTATTGGGGTCATAGGTCAAAGTCATGCCGCTCTAAAGAGAGTAAAATAAGTTTTAATCACTGGAGGTTTCACGTACATCACATGGGTGTTTCACTTTAAAACTGATGGTTAAAATATGTTAATAATTATACACATTACACAATTACAGTACAATGGCTGGAAACCAAACAAAGTATGACGTATGGTGCCATGTCTCAATGGCTCATTAAAGCTTAAAGACACAAACACACACCCACTTGGCTGACGTCAACGCTACGCACGCACGCGCACACGCGCACACACACACACACACACACACACACACACACACACACACACACACACACACATATATATATATATATATATTTAAAATTGTAAACAGGACTTACTAGTCTCACCTCGGCGTCTCTTGTCCAGGTTCGTCCATTGGGGATGTATTTAGCCTGACTCTGTCTCTTCTTCTGCCCGCCGTCAGCAAACTTACACAGCAATGGCTCTGATGCACCTGTAAACCATACAAAGACATGTTGTACTCATACAGATTGTATATGCATTATTAAAATAAGGTGAAGATATTTTGAGCCATTTTGATGTATAGTATAGCTCCTTTATTTTGATGTATAGGTCATTTAGCTTAGTCACATGCTAATGTCAAATTGGAATCAATTATAAGTCACTTAAATTAAATTCAGCACTGAAGAGAATGTATTAAAATTGTTCTTTACTATTAAAAGTGATCTATTTTACACAATATTTGTGTATTTTTGCATTTTAATGTATTTTAAAGTATAGTTCCATTAGCATAGCAACAAACGAACACCAAATGGGAATCAATTGTAAGTCACTTAAATTTGATACAGTATCAAAGACAATCTATTAAAAGGTTCTGTATAATTTAATATTAACGATTTAACCCAATATTTGTGAAATTTCAAAATGATTTCAAGTATAGTTTCTGTGAGGCACTGTCGCCTCACAGCAAGAACGTCATTGGTTTGAATCCCAGCTGGGTCAGTTGGCATTTCTGGGTGGAGTTTGCATGTTCTCACTGTGTTTGCGTGGGTTTCCTCCAGGTGCTCCAGTTTCCCCAAAGACATAAGCTATAGGTAAATTGGCCGTAGTGTATAAGTGTATACACTAGTATTAGTACACTAATATTTATCTTTTAAAAAATAGCTTAAATTAGCTAATAAAACACAAGGTGGGCCTACTGGACAAAAAGGGGATTCATTCATTCTCACTATACTTAAGGTCATGGTTACTTATTTATCCTTATAGCATCCATGTGGGATAAAAGAACACCATCTTTCGTGAAATGGAGTTGCCGTTTGATGTATAGTAATTTGGACTCATTCAAAGTAGCGTCGCTGTGCAAAAAAACATTTTAAATGCATGGTACACTCCCGACTGTACAGTGTGTTTTCTTTTTCTTATAATGCACAGAGTTTTGAGGTAAGAGACGTTTTCATTTGCCAATCACTGTCAGTCAGACAGGCTAATCCAGTTCATCAAACTCTTTTAAAATCGAAAGCGGAATGAACAATATCCTTATAAAACCAGCATATCAGTGCACTGCTACATTGGAAACGTATGATTCGATTCACGCTTCTGATTGGTTCCCGGGATATAGCGGCTTTTTGCTGTCAAAGGCAAGTGGCGTTTAGTGGCTTTTGCCAAAAAACTGTTATTTCTAAATGCGCTGATGATGCGATTTTAGATAATTAGAAGCAAATCTATTTGTTAATGGTGTAGTACGTGCCTAAAGCATTCACTCAATAGGCTCTATTTTGACGGTCCATGCGCAAATTGCAAAGTGCAGGGCACAAACGCATTTAGGGCGTGTCAGAATCCACTTTTGCTAATATAAGGACGGAAAAATCCACTTTGCCCTATGGGGCATGGTCTAAAAGGGTTGAGCTTATTTTCTTAATGAGTTATAGGTGTGTTTTGAGAATAAACCAATCAGAGTCTCATGTCCCATTCCCTTTAAGAGCCAGTTGCGTCGTGCCATGGTGCATTTGCTATTTGCATGACAACTTTGTAAGTGAAAAAACTGAGCATTTCACTAGAAAGAAAACAGTTAAACAGAGCATATGCAGCACGAGAATGAGAGATAAGGCCTCTCATAATCTACTTTCACATTCGCTCTCGTGGATAGGGAAGCCTTGTACACATAGACATCAATTAGCCTATAAATAATTAATTTAGTTTGTTATGCACAAAGATTTGTTTCAAAACTATTTTTAAATTCAGTTCTAATTTCCAGACGAATAAATGAACAATAATAACGAAGTGTGCTCAAAAAACTGAGTTATATCCAAACACACATGGTGTGCCCCATATGGTCTAAAACCTGACAGGTTGACAAATCTAAGTTTGTTTTTAATAAAAACAAATATAAATTTGGATATAATAAAAAAATACTGCTAATAATGATAACATTATACAAAAGCAAATTATTATGAATAAACTGTAAAAGCCTCCGGAGATGAAGAAGGCATGAAAGTATGGTTTTTAAATTTATGTAGGCTAGAAAATATTATGTTTTGTAATATTTTATTGCTTCATATTTATATCCTATATATATCCTTATTATATCCTATATATATATCCTTAATATTTTTATTCTTTTTCATATGTAAAGATATTTGCGTATTGCTCTACATCTTGAGTGTATTAAGCAGTGTGTAACCGAGGCGCACAACTAACGCGCTGGACAATAGACCGGCTTTGTTCTGGTCTATTGAAAAATCTATTATAGTTTCTCAAAATAGCAACGTGCCAGCAATGCGCTTTAACACGCCTTCCTTTTTAGACCAGAACGCCTATGGGCGCACATACGAGCGCAAATGCATTTGCTATTTAAACAGCGTTTCGCAAAACGTCAAAACGACCCTTGGGCCAAGCTGAAACTAGCAAACAACAATTGCGTTGTGCCTTGCGCCACATTCTGCCGGGTGTATGATAAAGCCCAATGTCATTAGCTCATTTTTGGCGGAAGTGGCGTTTAGCGGCTTTTGCATCTGAACTAAGTAAGTATAGTTTCATTAGCTTAGCAACATGCTAACATCAAATGGGAATCAATTGTAAGTTGATTTCAAAATCAAAGACGATCTAATAAAAAGGTTCTGTATAATTATATTTTTTTACTATTTTCCCCAGTATTTGAGTATACATTTTGTAAATGTATAAATACTGATACAAAGGCTTAATACAGTTAATACAGTTTATATATTTAGATATATAAATATATAAAGAAAGAAATAGAAAAAAATTGTGATGAATACGCACCTAGCATCCCAGAAGAGGACTTAATGAATTTCCCGTTGAAGTGAGAGATCACGGCATCACACTTCTCTGTCGACTCCATCCTTAAAATAGAGTAAAATAAAGAGAGAAAGTTTTTTTTTTTTTTTTTTTTTTACAAAACATCTACACACATGAGTATTGCACATCGGACTACATTCACACAGACAAAATCAGAACTGAATCTCACTGACCTGGCAAAGCCCACCCCCCGGCTCATTCCATTAGTGTCGCGCAGAATTCGGGTGGACACGACCTGTCCAAAGGGTTTGAGGAGGTTTTCAAGCTCCTGCTCATCCATGGACACGGGCAGGTTGGAGAGGTACAGGTTAGTCGGGTCCTGCTCCTGTTGCTATATTCAGAAAACATAAAACACATAGCAGAGAATTACACATTATTAAATGTCCTTCATTTGTTTATTCAGCTGATATATAAGCTCCTCTGAGTTTAAAGACCATCATAAATATACTTCATGTCAATGGTCGAGGATTAGTGTGATTAGGCTGATAGCTTAAAATACTGCTGCTTGTATATCATGAAAGCCTTTACTGGCATTACACATTTGCCATATTTTTCTGTTAAGAAATAAGCTTTTAAATGTGCATTTCTGTTTGATGTGTGACATAATTTAATTCATTGTAACATCAAGACAGGGTCGGGACATAGAGTAGCTCCTCCTATTTAAAATAGGCAGCCAATAGCGTTTAGTTTTAATCACACCTCTGCCAGTGAGAGTGGTTGAGCTCAAACTCATCAAATGAAAAACAAACAAGCATACAAAATCGCCTACTATTCAGTAGGTACTGCATTTGATTTTAAATTAACCACTCGACCATTAGAAAGGGAAGTTCTACAGTATGAATGTGATTAGTATTAATGGAACTTAGACGTACTACATCCGCCATTTTGTCATGATCACGTGACCTAATTTGGACATACTACTCGGCTCGCATACTGTTTTAGCATACTATATAGTATGGAAGTGTGAGATTTCGGGCTGAGGAGCATCTTGAAGAGGGCGGGACATGCCAGATACTAGAGAGCATTTGATTGTTTAGAAGATTTGATGAGAAACTGAAGTATGCTGAAAAAATTGTTGATCCATTTGATCAACAAACTGTAAGCTTTAGATGTTTATGACTTCTAATTGCGAATCATGAAAGTTGCGAAATTTTAAAGCACACTAGATTATGGATAACTTTAAGGGCCCGTTTCAGAAAGGAGGCTATGTGAAAAAGTATTTAACCCTGAAATGAGAGAAACTCTGGGTTTTCCATTTCAAAGTGGCAGGTTTGTTAAACTGGAGAAAGCAGGGTAAGTCAAGCCTGTTCCTGAAAGAGAGATAACTTTTACTGTGGTAACTTACTCTGTGAACCTAACCTGGTCAGGAGCAAGTTTTATTCTCTAAACCAGGCACGTGCACACATAGGGCTCAACCCCATGCTCGTTACATAAACGCACTAAATCGCACTTCAGTAGTTTTTGTTCGAGAGCGCACATGAAAATGCACTTGAGAGGCCTATCTCTCATTCTCGCGCTGCAGATGCTCTGTTTAACTGTTTTCTTGCTAGTGAAACGTTCAGTTTTTCCATTTACAAAGTCGTCATGCAAATAGCAAATGCGCTTATGGCGTGACGCAGCTGGCTCTTAAAGGGAATGGGAGATGAGACTCTGATTGGTTTATTCTCAAAACACACCTATAACTCATTAAGAAAATAAGCTCAAACTTTTTAGACCATGCGCCACGGTGCAAAGCAGATTTTTTCATCCTTATATTAGCAAAAGTGGATTCTGACACGCCCTAAATGCATTTACGCCCTGCGCTTTGCACTTTGTGTATGGATCGTCAAAATAGAGCCCAATGACTTTATTATGCTGGAGTTTATAGCCGTTTCACTTTACTTCAGGATGCATTAATGCAGCTCTGTAGGTCTTTTGGAGACATTCATAAATATTCCTAGCAAATATAATTAAATGTTGGAGACATGCTCATTATATAAACTTACTTAATCGCACTTCAGTAGTTTTTTTTTGGAGAGCACACAAGAAAATGCACTTGAGCAGTGTATATTTACAAAGAGATTCACATGCTCGTATTACATGAATGCGATCTCGACTTGTAATACTGCACTCACGACATTTGTCATTGAAATAACGCCATAGGTAGTTGGTAGATCTGTGTAAAAGGCCTGCCGCCACAGCTGGAAAAAAATCCTAGAGGAAACACTATATTATAGAAGTATCGGATTGGGTTTCCGTATCAGTAGATCCTCAAAATCAAATGACTCTGACTCGAGAGCAAAAAAACCTGATCGAGACCTCCCTAACAAAAACCTTTTTTTTTTCTTTTTTTTTTTTTTGCTTTTATTTACAATAAAATTATGATGAATGATCAACTTCGGATAGAATATAGATGGTAAAAATTAAAATTGTAAAATAAAACCTTCCAACTTGTTTACTTGCTAGCATTCTTAAAAAATTATTAGCCTGCAAGCTTAACAACCCCAACTAAAGGATGACCGATTTTGCAAAAGACTATGCAAAGGACAATTATGATTACGCAAAGAGATACTGCGATAATCTATTCATCCTCATCACGTCCTACAGTGTAATTTATAGAGCAGCAGGTCACCCGATTAAGCTTAAGCTGTGAAACCAGCATTTATCACTACGCTTGAGCTTAAGAGACACATTAAGCAGACCAGAATTTTCTTACTTAAATAAGCAGCACCATCCACTCATTCATTTATGTGAATCATGTGTCCAGCATCTCAAGGGTGAGACCTTCGGGCGGTTTATATTCAGAGTCTTAAGCTGCGATGTGGTGCATAAGTGCTTTGTGAGAGCACAATACAATTCTGATCTTGCCTCTCAGCTAACAAGGACACACGATACACTACGAGCTGCATTTCAATCTGACGTTTGATTGGCTGAAGGCAGAATCTCAGCTTGCAATTCTAGATGCCTCAGCAGAAACGAGGGCGGTCCAGGATAAGACGTCAACATTCCTCAACATGCATGCGTCAAACATGTTTACACAGTACACACACACACTCATGTACGCGTAACGGGGAAGTGGAAGAGTAATATGCTGACAGTGGGAAGGAAGAGAAAAAAAGAGGGCAGATTAAAAATTGAAGATGCAGGCAGAAACGCCCAGAACCTGGGAGAAGGTCAATGCAGGATTGTCACACACACACACACACACACACACACGCTTCTCCAAGGCACAAAGATACACAGGAAATGTATGTGTGTGTTGATGGAGAACAGGAAACGATGGAGAAATGGCACATGAAAAGGTTTAAATTTTAATGTTACAGATCAACGCTTCCTGAATGGCTCTTACAGACGGGTCATGAACTATTTACTTTGGAAAAGGAAGTGGTGTTATAAATGGATGACTCACCTTGGCCATCTGAGCCTGAACTCCGTTGGTCTTCAGTGCTGCGACGGCCTTTTGTGCGGACACGGGACTGTCGAAATCCACAAACCCATATCCTATGAAAAAAAAACAACACACATTTCCAGGCGTTATCTATCTACATCAAAGCGCTAGACCAAACATTCATCTGTAAAAAATAACTTTGATTGTTGCAGATAGACGTCTGTAGACAGACATGTGAATTTTCCTGCTTCAGTAAATGCTGAATCATTCCTGCTGGTTTAGTTGTTTTTACGTCACTACATTCCTGATAGAGGTTATAATGATATTTACCAATCGATGAGTCATTGATTGTATTTAATGATGACCATATTCATATACTGTGGGTTTTAGACTACCAATTATTTAAAAAAAATAATTGATTACTTTATTTAGCAAAAATGCAGAACTCACTTTACAAATCATTCTAATGTGATCTGATTTGGTGTTTTTATCATTTCTTCGTATGCATGTTTACTTTGATGCCCTCGTTTGAAAAACAAAACACATTTACAAGATGTGATGAAATAAGATGAAACATTTTAAACACCTAATCAGATCACATTGAAATGATTTGTAAAGTGAGTATTTGCTGCTGAATATGTTTTTGAAGATGTATTTGATTCCAAAGAAAGCTGTTTTGTTGAAATAGAAACTCAGTTTTCGATTAAAGTTCGGCATTATTGCTCAATAAGTAATCAATTATTTTTTCAAAAATATACGGTAGTCTAAATACCATACTACAAGATATATATATATATATATATATATATATATATATATATATATATATATATATATATATATATATATATATATATATATAATATATATATATTTACAGTTTAGGTCAGAATTATTAGCCCCCTGAATTAGACCCTCTGTTTATCTGTTTAGGCTGAACCAGGTTAATTAGGTTAACTAGGCAGGTTTGAGTAATTAGGCAAGTCATTGTATAATAATGGTTTGATCTGTAAACTATCAAATAAAATATATAGCTTAATAATATTATCCTTAAATTTTTTTTATTTTTTATTTTTATGTAAAACTGCTTTTATCTCCAGAAGAAAAAATATTATCAGACATACTGTAAAAAAATTCCTTGCTCTGTTAAACATCATTTGGGAAATATTTACAAAAAAAAAAAAATTCTAAATTTAGCGAAGCCCAGCTGCTGCTTCTTACTCAGGGCTGTCTATGTTAATGAAGTAGAAATAGGCGGGGCTGTCCCCCTCTGATGACATGTGCAAAGGGAGAATGTCAATCAAGTGTTCCTGCAGATGGTTTTTATCAAGTGTGATTATAAAAATTTAAGTTAATTAATTTTTCCTATTAGAGGCTGGATATATTCATACACTTGCCATGTAACTTTGTTTAAATCCTTCATAAAAGTGTTTTTTTTTTCATAATAGGTAGGGCTGCACAATATATCATTTCAGCATCGATATCGCAATGTGCGCACACACAATAGTCACATTGCAAAAATATGCAATGTCCAGTCTGAATTATAGTTGACCAGGAGCTGCAGAGTTGTATTTAATCGCTGTATTTATATGGATTTTATATGATTTATGCAACAACAACAAAAAAATTTCTTACTTTGAATTTTTGTCTTGTTTCTCACCCAAATATTTACATTTCAAAGCGAAAACAAGATTATTGTATTTACCTCACTGGCTCATTTCCTCTTTTTCTTAAAACAAGCCAAAAACTCTTAATTTTCCTTTATTTCTTCTGAAGATGAAAACTAAACAATATTTTTACTTGCTCCAAGATTTTTTTTAATTTTTGGACTAGAAACAAGACAAAAAATAAGAAAACTATTTTTGCATTGTTTTGCATCGATTTCTTTACCCCAAATACTGTTCAACTCCACAGAAATTCAAACCATCTAATGAAACTGTATTCATATTGCAACATTTATTGCAGAAAAATAAAATATCTCAATGTCAGATTTTTACAATATCGTGCAGCCCTAATAATAGGTCCTCTTTAATATATATTAATATACCCTCATTTCCCATTAATATGCAAATGAATCGAATCGATCCAGGAGGGATAGACTTTTTTTGTAAATTAAAATTCGCAAAAGCTCTAATTGTTTTTTTTAAACTGATGGATAATTTTCTGTGTATGCGTGTGCATATTCCAAGTCTTGTATTATTCCAATAATATATTGTAGTTGTATGTTGTTTCAGACACCGACTGCACATTTAGATGTAACAAACCTTTGCATTTGTTTGTAGTCTTGTCAAGAATGGCTTTGGTGGACACGATCTTCCCATATCTGCTTACAGAGAGAGAAAGAAAGAGAGACATGATCAGCACATGAGTCAGTCACTTAGTCAAATGACACAACAGCACAGGAATTCATGACCTGCAAGACATGAAACACAAGATCTACCATAATCTATGAGCCGAGAAAATAAATAACACCATCCGAGAGAGCTGTTTGAAACGCACTTAATTCAGAAACAAAGAGTCAGTTTTGACAGAATCATCCACAGGCACTTGATGCCGACAGTCCGAGTGCTTTAAAGAGCCACTGTGACAGATGAGGACCGAACTGCATTAATGGAGTGACCATGAGAAACCTGTTATTACAGCACACAAATCACCATGGTTCAAAGGAAATGCTCGTCTCCCTCTGTGTGTGTGTGTGTGTGCGTGTGTGTGTGTGTTAGAGAAAGACTGAGAAAAGGAACACACCATTAATAGCGTGGGGAAGAACAGATAAACACTGGAGTGTGTGTACATCATACTACTGAACTGCTTTCTGCGTTGAACTAGTCTACGATAATTATGAACGGAATTAGTTTCACACGTTTTTCTAAACTATCATGTAGGACTATGAATTAGCAATGAATATTTTAAACAATACTGCTATTTTACCACATGACCTCGTTGCTTTGCATATGCTTTGCTAATTATTGTTGAATATAAGCAATTAGGTAAAGAAAGACACAAAAGAAAAGTACTATTTTTTTATTTATTTAGTTAATTTATTTTTTCCTTTACTTTCGTCAATTAGTGAACTTTGTTCCTCGGCACTGTCGCCACTGGCTAGCTAGCTTTGGGACTTTGGGCCTGTGCATTGATGGATTTGCGCTTCAGTGTTTGGACATGCAGCAGTGAAATTTAAACCACACTGAACTGAACTAAACTGAACTTCAACTCTGAAATCTGGACTGACAGTTTCAATCTACAGGAACTTTTAAGTTAAGCTGCTTTGACACAATCGACATTGTAAAAGCGTTAGAGGAATAAACATGAATTGAATTGAATTTGTCACCATGGAAATAAGTCATATTTTAGATCACAATTTTTGTTCAAATTCAGCAGGTCATATGGGCACACTGTGTAATATTAGCATTCGGCATATACTTCCTTGTGCACAAACAGTATTAGAACACAGGCGACGTGATTCTGCTCCTTCTTAATTGCACACATTGTACAAAGAAAAGGTCACAAAACAGAGGGAACATGGGATTTTGTCAGAACATGGTAATCAAATGCAATTTTGTTCACACAAGCTGAAAGCACACCATAATGTAATGTCTGGAATGTTTAAAGTAGGCATGGGATGATAACCGTTTTCAAGGTGTGGTTTGGAAAAGCCATGGTTTTAAAATGGCCAAAATTTTCTGTTATACTATTCCTTTTATATTGTAAGAAATCTGTGCTTTTAAAACTAATGAAGACAGCAGAAGTCAATAATTAAAGGTGCAGTAGGTGATTGTCTTCAAAAGCATTTTTTGTTGTGCTGGTTGAAAGTCTCTTCACATTCTAATATTAATGATCACAGTAAAAGATCTAAATGTGTTTATATGTATCTTTATATTCTGGATAAGTCATAAAACTGAAAAAAAAATTTGTTCTTTACTGGAGGAAGGACGTATTTCATTAAGTATTTCTGTTAGAAAGGTAATGTTTGTTTTAAAACTATTTTAGCTTCACGCAGAGCTGATGTAGTTTGAGTTGTTACAAATGGGTAATGCACAAACGTGCTGTTCAGCCACTGAAATTCGCGACATCAGGAGGCGTGGCTTTGAAACACAGTCCCTCCCCTGCTGTCCAAAGCTAATATGCTAACCGATTAGCATTTTGGCAGATCACCTACTGCACCTTTAATTTGAATTATTTAGCCTGACATTTTTACTGCTGCAAAATATTATAAATGTTTCTCAAAATAAACTATAATACGTTCAAAGGGGAAACAAGTTTTAGTTTTTTTTTATATTTTTGAGTAGTAATTACAATACCATGTAAAAAATCGTGATTTTCTTCAAGGTTACTGTCGGAATTTGCCCAATGCCCAATTTGAAGTCAATAAAATCTTTTAACGGTTTTATATTTTAGTACATTTTAAAGTGGAGGTGAAACTAAATTTTCGACAACCATTTCTATGTCACATGATCCATCAGAAATAATTCTAACATGCAGATTTGGTGTTCAAGAAACATTTATTAAAGGGGTAGTTCACCCAAAAATGAAAATTCTTGTTCCAGCACTTGCTCCAAAGCTGATTGAGATAATCTGAAGAATGTTGGAATCCAGCAGCCAAATATATTATAACTACCTCAAGTCAATGGCAGCTGCTTTCCAACATTCTTCAATATATATATTCTTTTGTGTTCGACAGAAACTCAAACCGGTCTTAAATAGCTGAAGGGGGAGTAAATAACATAATTTTAATATCTGGCTGAACAATCCTTTTAATATTATCAATGTTGTTGGGAAAATCTTGATTCTTTGATGAACAGCAAGGACAAAAAAAAAAAACAGTTTTTACTTGAAATAATTAGTCACATTATAAATCTACTACATGTAGTGAATTTTAATAATTTCTTACAAGCCCCAGCTCGCATTTCAAATGTTTGCACACTGAAAATAAATGTATTCACATTTCTGCCGGCTTAGATTTATTGACGTCCCTCTCACGAAGGCTGCGCAGGAAAAAAGCGGTGACAGTAGTGCTGACTGGTAAAGGGCTGTTTTTCATTCAACCTTCGCCGAAGCTTGCTTTTCCAAAACTGAATTTTAAATACGCTCATATATTTATAAACCCTCTTCCTGTGCCATTAAAACTCAGGCTCGGATGAATAAATATTTACTCAGAGTGACGTTTACCAGAGCTGAAAAAGAGGGGGAAAGCAGAACCAATCAGATTTCAAACACAGATCACAAGACTCCACGTGCCAGAGGACCGCTCGACCTTGGCCTTGACCCGTTGGCTCCAACGGGGAGGCCCCATTTCCTGCCCCCGCCGGCCGAATTCCGTCAGCAGCTCCCAGAGCGACGCTGCTTTTCTGCCTGATGCGGATCAAGCAAATCAATCCGCGGCTCTGCCCCGAACGGTCACTCTCTGTGATTAAAACAGCTTCAGAAAGTGAGGTTTCGATGTCGCCGCAATACCTCAAAGCTCAAACATTCCTCATGGTTTTAAATTAAATATACTGTTGTGATTGCGATTGAGTCTAGTTATAATGAACATTTGACCTCGGCTTCACTTTTAACCAGGACGGAAGCCAAGAGGATTACACCCCCGCCCCCCTCACACACACCCCACTCCCGAATCTGACTCTTTACAATCAATTTGAGGGATTACCATGGTGATGACTAGTTTCCTGAGGGCAGCAAGGGGTAAATTAAACCCTACTGGGAATGAATGAATGAATGGAATACACATGAGAGCAGGACGCCTGTGCACAAACAAGTACTCTTGCGTACTGTACATACAGTCAAACCAAACGTTATTGGACACCTTCAGTACTTTCAGTTTTTCTATTGTTCAGAAAACGGGAATAAAACATGGAAAACACTATTGTCAAAACAAATTCATCCATAATGCCAGATTAAAACATTGATAGAACGGTATATAATATAATACGCTTATGTGTTAATATGTAATACGCATATAATGGATTACAATCAACATATCATATATTTTTATTTAATGCCATGTCAGCAATAAAGGCTATTTCATTTTTAATAATTATTAGTAGAGGATTATAATTTACTTTTGCTAATGATGAAATTTCTTTTGTTAAATGCATACCTAAAAATTTCAATGATTTTTGATCCCATTTCAGATTAAATGTGTCTTTAATAGTTAATGAGGGTGTATATTTAAAAGATATGGTCTGTGTTTTTTGTACATTTAATTTATAACCTGCATAGGAACCGAATTTCTTGATTAAATTCATTAGTTCAGGAAGGGAAGTTGTGGGTGTGCTTAAATAAATCAAAATATCATCTGCATGTAATGCCAGTTTGTAAATATCTCCATTTATGTTTATACCTTTATTATTTTTAGTTTGTCTTATCCTTTGTGCCGAAGGTTCTATATATAGAGCAAATAATAACGGGGAGATCTTTGTCTTGTCCCACGTTGTAATGTTATGGTGTCTGTGAGATGTCTATTTATTTTTAACCGGGCTACTGCTTTGTTATAAATTGCAAATGCCTTTAATAAAGTTTTCGTGTATGAAAATTTTTCAAGAGCTTTATTTAAAAAGGACCAATTTACAAAATCAAAAGCGTTCTCCGCGTCAAGACTGATTAAAAGAGCTTCTATTTTGTTCTAATAATGTATTATATGTAAGGATCGTCTAATATTATCATGAGTTTGTCTTTGCAAGATAAAACCAGCCTGATCTTTATGTATAAAAGTGTGGAGGAATCTTTTACAATCTCGTGTATAATTTATAATCAACATTTAAGGTCGAGATTGGCTTTTTAATAACGAAGGCTATTTCATGGCAAAGTCATTTATATATAATAAATATAACATTACATTTAATGATAAATATACAATTCAACACAACAAACAGATAAATGCATAAATTAGATATGATTTGTAACGTTAGAATAAGATAAAAATTCTCATTTCTTTCCTTGTGACACTTTGCTGAATATCTCCAACAGTGAGTTCGGTTTGCAATCAACAAAAATAATTCAGTATTTTAATTTCTATCACTTCATAACTATCATTTCTGTGTAGTAGAGCTGCACAATTAATCGTTAAAAGATCGACCCCCTAGACGATCTTAATCCAGCATTTCTACGATTCTGCCAATCATATTTTCAAGTTCAGGAGAGAAGAAATGGCGGCCGCACGAGTCTTTTCATTGTTTCACAAACGTTGCTCAATGACATTGACACCTCCAAATGATGTTGAATGAGTCACATACTGTATTTATAAGGAAGAATTCACCTAAAAATGTAATTTTTGTCTTAATATAATGATGTTTTCGCTATCGGGAAATCACACGTCACGTGATGCGA